AAAAAAAAACCCTTAAGCTATCAGTGTAAAGTACTCGATGCTAAAAGAATTCAACAATCGATCGAGCAAAATTTTTTCTTGCTAAAAAATTTGATAATTGTTGGCCAAGCAAAATTTCTTTTTTTCCTCTCAGCTACTTGGCTCTAGCCGCAATTCATTATTTTCCTATGCATAAGATCGGATAAAACAAATTTCTGCCAAAAAAAAAGCAAAACCTGATGGTGTTGTCACTGGATCCAGAAACAACAAGCCGGTCATGATACTGTAAGCATGCAATGCCACGTCTGTGCCCAGTCATTGTACGCAAAAATTCACATGAATCAGTATGCCAGACCTACAAATCGCATCAATAAGGTAAATCGATTACAGCAATTCAAAAAACAAATCTTTTTTGGGGGGCACTTTTTACAACAAAATCAAAATATTTTGATAGCCGGTTGCTCTGTTCCGGAAAGAAGCACTGTAATTTGAAGGGAAGCAGTGTTTTTTCACTCCTAACTGTAATCAAATTTCCAATTTTTATAGGCTTTTATGCGTTTTGCGCTGTGTAACAGCAGAACAAAACACATGTGTGTGTGTGTGTTTCCACATTTTGTCCCGCACTTTCAACTCCGAAACCACAAAAGCTGGGCGGCTAAAATTTTAGCAGACTGCTCCCCACCAACGTGTGACTCTGCAAATTTAAATTCAGCCTTCCCATGCCCGCGATTAACCCATACAGCCTCGTAAAAATTTTGTCGGGGAAAATTATTATCTTGGGAATCAGGAAAGTTAGGAAGCTGAAATTTTACAGGTATGTCCTTAGCCTATGTGCGACCCAGAAATCTTCAATTCAACCTTCCTGTGTCCGCCGGTAACACGTATGGTGGCTCTGTGAAATTTTTGGCGGGGAAAATTATTTGGTTCTTTCACTTTGATTTTGGTGCCACTATTGTCATTACTTTCCAATACATATTTTTCCTCAACTGTAATCGACTGGATGCAATTCGGAAGTTAAATTTTATTTTGAATCCATCTATTTTCCCCCGTACAATCATAATAACCAAACTTGAATTTCTGTGTTACTCTGTAGTCTCTGTGGCGAATTCCTACCAGTGATGCCGGCATATCTGCATCGCTCCACTGTTCACTTCTCTTTCTCTCTCTCTCTCGCGAAACTCGGCCAGTTTCTCGAAGCAACTGCATCGCTTGACTGTTCACTTCTCTTTCTCTCTCATTCGATGAACTAGGTCGGTCCTAACTGCCTGGCCGTTGCTAACAACATTTCACACACGCGGTAAAAAAAAAGCAAAATATCCCGGCACTCACCTTTATAGTTCGATCACCCGATGCCGAAACAATATATCGGCTATCAAAATCAACAACATTGACGGCAGCACGATGTGCAACAAGCAAACGTCGTACGGTGATGTTTGTTGGAGAAATCATATCCCAGACTGCTATCGAACGATCTTTGGAGCTAAAATTCAAAATTTCACACTTTTTAACGCTCATGACCGATAAAACTTGCGTAAAAAATTCAACAAACTCACAAGGAAATACATGCGCACATGAAATAATCATAGAATAATGAAACAGAATAATAAACCACTTCCTTTCCTCCTTTGTCTTCTTTCGGAAAATCAAATATTCGTTCAAACATGGCAGAATGGGGCACTGTACTGATGATTCTCACCCCATTCCGCACCGGCTCTGCCGTCTGTTTTTGCAGCTTAGGGATGAAACACAAACTGAATAACAGCTAGGGGCACATACAGCCTCGCTTATCTGGGTATATAAATTAGCACTCACTGATTTCCCACAACTGATAATATTCGACTGTGTCCCTCTCACCGGTCATCCGTGGACCTTTAGTGTCAAACAAACTTGCATGGTTTACATTTTTCTTTTTTTCTAAAAAAAAAAATTTCCGGAACACTTAAGTAACACAAAACAGTGAGCCAGGTACAGTTAGTTGTTCACTGAGAGCCCCAAAAGAGGACAAGAGGCCTGAAATTTTTGCACTAAAATTGTATTTTTGAAATTTTTTCACATAAATTCCATCTTACGCAAAAGAATTCCCAATCAGCTACGACAGGCTAACGATAGATCCGTGCTAGCAGTAATCACACATCCGCAAGACAATCGATGGATTATCTTCCGAGATCGAAATATTTAATATTAATGGACCGCAATATTTCTTACCATTGTACTACATTTTACAAGATTTTACATTTTTTACCAATTTCTTAATATCATTTGCTTTTGCCTTCTTCCAACTTCAAAATATTTCCCTATTTCGAGAAATTTGCTTAGAATGGCCAGAAATTTTTGCACTAAAATCGTATTTTTGAAATTTTTCCAAAAAAATTCCTTACGCAAAAGAATTTCTAATCAGCTACGACAGCCTAAAGATAGCTCCGTGCTAGCAGTAACCACCCACCCTGTATTTGTATGTGTGCATGTATATATTGTGTGCCAGTCCGGGAATTTCAACTCGGCAACCAAGCAAGCTCCGGCGCTAAAATTTTGCCACTGAATTCCACTGTCAAGTGCCATACCAGGAGTGCGGTATCAACCCTCATGCACGCCTGAACCCCGCGTACGAGCGTATGAAAGTTTCGGCGGGAAAATTGCTGGATCGGGAACCGGTCATTCCCAAGCTGTAAACCTATCCGTCAGGAGCGGGAAACAATCAGTACAGCCTACTACCCACCATGCAAGAAATAAGCAAATTGATGGTAAAGCACAGAAATGAAATTTTACCAGGTGACCATCATGCCATTCTGAAATCGTAAATGCAGTACAGCTTCCACGTGATGCATAAGCGTGTTCAGTAGATTACCAGTATGCACGTCCCAAACTCTGCAAAAAATTCCATTGACTGTGTGGTAAACTATCATAAAGATGCTCGTCGAATAAAATTCAGGCAACAGTAGCGCTACTGGCAACGTTGACTCGTTCAGCAAACATGGAACAGACACGCAGGAGAAAGAGTAGAATAGAAGAAATGGATTTAAGTGTCATATGTAAGAAGGCATTTTACGCGATGCAGCAGTCTGCCTGTGTTTCACCCCTTAGCTGTATACACAGACCGAACTATGCATGTGGGTAGGAGCGGGAAAAGTTAACATATTTTCTAAGAAAAATGAATACATGAATTTGCGGGGTCCCAAGTGTAATACCCGCCACTAGAGACATATCTGTGAATTGGGCACTGCATGCTAAAATAATCGTTATTTTAACCCAGGCTGGAACACACCAGGCCGGCCGGTGCGATTATGCGTTTTTGTACTTTTTGTGCCGTAGCAAGATCGCAAGGAATCACAACAGCTAACCCCGTGATCACACTTGTGCAACTATGTGGTATGTCAAGTTGTAGATGTCGACTTCAGTGACCCGACAAATGGAAGGTTGCTGGTTCGCAAAAAAAGGCCGCACTAGAAGAGTTAAATTTGAAG